CTTCGGATGCATCCGAAGCAGAGGGCTGTAGTCCACGTAAGCTTATGCTCTAATAAATTTGTTAGTCTCTAAGGTGCCACAAGTCCTCCCGTTCTTCTTTTTAATTAAGATGTAACATTATATTGCATTAGGATATCCTGGGAGGGGAAAAAAGTGCAGAAAAGGTAATCTGATCTAAGAGCTATCAAATGTGAGTTCCTTATCCTAAACTTCAAAGCCCTTAATAATTTTGCATCTGCTGTCTTGACTGTCCTTGTCTCTTTTTCACATTGTCCCCCTCAATTTTCTTCACTTTGTCAGTGATGCCACAATCCATACTTTCTCCCATGCTTCTATTACATATAGCGAGTCCATCAGATCTGTAAGGCCACTGTCCTTTTCTTCTCCAAATCTCTCCTCAAGACCACTTCTGCTCTGTTGTCCATAAGAAAATCTGCCAATTAAGCTGATAAGAACAAATATAACTTAGAGAATTTTTCACTTGACCACAGCTCAAAGAGCTGATAAGTAAGTAGAGGTAGATGGGGACAACTGACATTTTTATTTGTAATAATAATGAGAACATGTGTAAGTGTCTATACTTATACCTCACATATATATGCATTTTTCATCCATCTCCTTATATCCTTTGTATGTTATTCCTTTTAAGGTAAGGTCCAGCACCCATGAAAAACAATAGGTTCTTCCCATTGACTTCTATGGACACTGTATAAGGGGCTATGATTTTAAGTTATTTGGTCAGGAACCATGTCTTCATAATATAGCTGCTTTAAAATAAAAGTGAGGAATTTCACACTTTTTCCCCCTTTGTTAAATTTTGAATTCTGAAAACCTTCCATAAGTAGGGTGGTAAGTCCCAAGCACCGACATGACCGTATCACACCAATGTTTCTCACCTTGATAAGTGCCTATCCAACAATGCCTGCTCTGGGAAACAAACACCAGGTTTCAACTCTTATTAAGCAGTTGACTTTAATCTGTGAAAAAGGGGATGGAAGCTTTGTTGCTCATTCTCAGGGGAACTGATAAACTTCTGATTTTTGTAGTGAATGGCAGACACTACACAGATGAAAAGTGATGAATTACATATCATCATCGTGTTACTATTATGCCTCTGGCATTTAGGGCAGTGACAAAGCTCCTCCACTCCTGTCTGTTTCTGGCAAGTGTTTCAATGGTTCCCCAGCTGTGCCCCAGGTTTTTCAGCTCAGCTTCCACAGCTCTTCATCATGTTGTTCTCGGGCGGCCTCATTTTCACTTGCCTTCAGGTGTCCATCTTATTGCTACTCTGGTGATGGAATCAGTTTCCATCTGAAGCATATGACCAACCATCTCCTGACGATGATGCTCAGATCCACTTGGCTGTACTGTATCAATAGATCTTGGTTTGAGATTTTTCTGGGCCAAAAGATATGGAGGATTTTTCTGAGGCAGATTGTATGGAATGAAGACAGTTTGGACATGTCATACTTTCTCATTCCCCAGCATTCTGCACTATAAAGTAGTGTTGAAAGTACACTAAATCTTGAGTTTAGTTTTGGTGTTGTATTGAATTACATATATTATTTTATTATTCATATAATTATTACTAATAAAATTGCTGTCCTTGAGATACCATGTAACCATCACAAGTATGTGCAAATACATGCTGCAAAACAGATCAGAAACTTTTGATGACATCTAGATGATTTTTTAGGCTCTCTCTGTACAGACATTCCGGTGGGGAATCGAATTAACTGCAATCATAAACATACAGTGTGCTCACTTCACTAAACACCTTTTTTTATATAAAACCAACCACAACTAAATTAGCAAAAAAGGTTGACAGTAACGTGCATCATGGTTTTTTAGTTTAAAAGATGTATACTTCCTAATTTTGAATTTATATTTTACAGATATCATACATTGTAATTGTATGTTAAATATTGTAATTGTTTAGTTATATAAAATCCTGAATAAAGATTCAAAATAAGAAAATCAGTTGTTTCTGGAGCAAATTTATTGCATATAATCCATTTCACACTCTTAATGGAATAATTAGTCTCCACAGATGCATAGTCATTAGAGGTGCCTGAATACAAGTGATTTTACACATCTGTCAGCTCAGTCACACATCTAAGGCTTAATATAACATTTGGAAATGTATTAATTACACTTTAAGGTAGGCATTGGGTCTGTAAACCAATGAAAATTAATTAATTTCATTATACTATTTCATTCAAAATGTGTGGTTCATTATTTTTGCCTCTGTATATTACAATTTTGAAAGACAAGTCCTATTCCAGAATGAGTATTTTTTTTTAAAGGAGGATGAAAATTGTTACTTTTTTAATATATGCTTTATTTAGTGAGGTTATCTAGTGGTTAAAGCACAAGCTTAGAAACAGAAACAATATCAAACCAGCCTATCACCTGGCTTGGATACTGGATCACAAATAGCAGACACTGGAAAAAAAATAGTTCACAAGGGATCCTTTGGCTGAAATTTGTTCACAAATATTTGTGAAACAATTTTGAATGGTGAACAAATATGTAAAGACTGCCATTGTGACTGGGTGCCTGGGATGGTCCACACTGAGAATGCCACATTCAGGGAAGACTGTAAGAATACGGGCACACAATCCCCCAAAATTGGTGGTTTATTCTACAGTTAGATTCACCAAGCCAGTAACAAAAAAGCTTCTGCAGTACCACACTGGTTAACCAGAAGCTGAGCACACTCCCTGTTAGGCATTCTAGCACTTGGCTTCTAGCCAGACAAACAAGTCTTATAGAGTGAAAAGTTACTGAAATCCCAATTCACCTAAAAAGCAACAGAAGGTCCTGTGGCACCTTTAAGCCTAACAGAAGTATTAGTCTTAAAGGTTCCACAGGACCCTCTGTTGCTTTTTACAGATTCAGACTAACACGGCTACCCCTCTGATACTTGACACCAATTCACCTAGGTTGTGCTAATCCCAAACAGGAGCGGTGCCAGGGTTTTTAGCGCTCTAGGTGGGGTCCTTCTGCACTCCCAGTCGTCGACGGCAGTTCTGCGGCGGGGAGGGTCCTTCCGCGCTCTCGGTCTTTGGGGCACTGCGGCGGCAGGTCCCGGAGCGAGTGAAGGACCCGCCACAGAATTGCTGCTGAAAACCCAGAGCACGGAAGGACCCCTCGCTACCGAATTGACGCCGAGGGTGGCAAAATGACCCCCCCCCCTCAAATCCTGGTGCTCTAGGCGACCGCCAAAGGATCAGACAGTTAGCCCCAGGTCAATATGTATCTTAGACCTTAACCAAATATCTCATTATCAGCCAATCCTTAGTAAACAAACTAAAGATTTCTTAAGAAAAGAAAAGAAGAGTTATAAATGCATAATAGATCATATACATAAAATGATTGTGATATCCTTATGTCATGTTTGTAGCAATGATGGAATAGACTACTGGCTTGCAAAAGACTCTCTGGTAATTTCCAAAAGATTGGAAGGTCTTAAGTCAATAGTTCAAAATACTACTTTTAGTTGTAAATCTACAGTTCAGATAATTGGATCAGGAAAGAGGCAAAGCACTGATGTCACAGCTTGCAATTTATAGCCCAGCACATGTGCATGGAAACAACAAGGAGTCTGGTGGCATGGAAAGTTACTAGATCAATATGGAGTCCAAGGGCACATGAACATGGAAAGTTACTGGTAAAAGATGTACTTTAGAGACTAACAAATTTATTTGAGCATAAGCTTTCATGGGCTACAGCCCACTTCATCGGATGCATAGAATGGAACACACGGAAAGAAGATATTTATACATACAGAGAACATGAAAGGGTGGAAGTAGCCATGCCAACCGTAAGAGCCAATCAATTGAGATGAACTATCATCAGCAGGAGAAAAAAAACTTTTGAAGTGATAATCAAGATGACCCATAGGTGCGAGGATAATTTAACATGGGGAAATAGATTCAATTAGTGTAATGACCCAACCATTCCCAGTCTGTTTAAACCTGTTAATTGTATCTAAATTTCATATTAATTAAAGTTCAGCAGTCTCTCTTTGGAGTCTGTTTTTGAAGTTTTTTTGTTGCAAAATTGCCACCTTCAAGTCTGTCACTGAGTGGTTAGAGAGGTTGAAGTGTTCTCCCACTGGTTTTTGAATGTTATGATTCCTGATGTCAGATTTGTGTCCATTTATTCGTTTGCGTAGAGATTGTCCGGTTTGGCCAATGTATATGGCAGAGGGGCACTGCTGGCACATGATGGCATATATCACGTTGGTAGATGTGCAGGTGAATGAGCCCCTGATGGTGTGGCTGATGTGATTAGGTCCTATGATGGTGTTACTTGAATAGATATGTGGACAGCATCACTTACCCCATAACCTAAGCCGTGCTGAACACAACACCATCAACAGCCTCAGGAACAACTCTGATATCATAATCAAAAAGGCTGACAAAGGAGATGCTGTTGTTCATATTCCAATTTATTCATGATGACAAGAGGCTGCTAGGCA